CACAGATGTGGTTGATATGATTTGAATATAGAAAGCTATCTGAACATAAGCAGATGTTTTGTTATGAAAACCCCATGGGTTTATAAATTACTTTAGATTATTAAATAATTATGAGATCAAGAGAGACTCTAAGAGAATACTGCTCTGAGTGTTTAAAAATAGAGTGGGAGGCAGAGCCTTCAGATTTCAGACCCCTCTTCTGTGGAACCAGCTCCCAGTTTGGATTCAGAAGATAGACACACTCTCTACTTTTAAGATGAGCCTTAAACTTTCCTTTTTAATAAAGCTTATAGTTTGGACTGGATCAAGTGACCCTGAATTCTCAGTTCGTTATCTGGCTTCCCACAATGCAATCTTTTCAGCCACTATGCGTTTATACACCACTCTGCAGTTTATCATTAGTTAATCTTAATATTTGTCTCTCTCCCAAAAAGTTGATTCTGTTCATCTGGGTGTAGCGTGTTCAGTGGGAGAAACTCATCCAAGTGACTTCTTTACTCTCAGCTGACTGTAGGTTTCTGTAACCTTATAAAGAGCACATTTACATAATGACTAAGAGTCAAACCTTAAATACTGATCCGTATGCGTTGGTTTACAGTACACATCCACTGTTAAATATCCGCCATTACTGATCGACATCTCACAGTCTGAGACGGCTAACCTGCCACTTTTCATATCCTCCCTGGTGAATTTGATGTGTCGGTCCACCGAGTTAATGTGATCTGTGAATTGTCCTGAGATTTGATTTTCACTCAGGTGTCATCCACATACCTGAACCTGATCTTTGTGGTGTTCCAGGGTAGGATAACAGAGCCCTCTTTTCCACTTCTTCCATGTACAAGTTAGCCACAATGGGTGAAACTGGGCGCACCCATGTTTCTGCCTGTAGTACTGACCCTTGTATGTGAAACATGTAGATGACGACACAGTTAAAGAGCAAACACATTTGGTCGGTGCTGAGTGTGGTGCTGTTGCTGAGGTTGAGCTCATCCTGTAATCTCTTAGGAACTACCTCCAACGCTTTAGTAACTGGAATGTAAGTGAAGAGAGCTGTAACATCGTACGTGACCATGGTTTTATCTGCCTGCATAATAACCTCTCACTTTCTCAACAAAATCCAAGGTGTTCTGGATAGGGATGGGTACCGGTGTCATGGCACCGGTTCTGACATAAGCGGTAGTAACCAGACCGAAAAGCAGCGCACATTTCGGTGCTTTATTTCGGTGCTTTTTTTTCCTGAGCTGTGATACACTTTAGGTTCTAGCCAATCATTTTACGTTTCCGAGGATAGTAGGCGGGTCCAGGTACGTACGTTCTGTTAGAGCAGAGCTACAGATTAAAAATGTCCAAGGTGAAGCGGTCAAAAGTCTGGCTGTACTTCATAGCAAAATGTGCAAACTCAGCAG